ATCCTGTTGCTAGACATAGCGTCTTCTAGCAGCTTCCCTCTTGACAGCTTTTCTCACAGACAGTGCCCAACTGACCCTACTATACGGTGCGGTTGACAAAATCAAAAACAAACAATGCACATGCAAATTAAAAATATAAAATAGTGACAATAAATCCATCGCATCCTGTATATATGATAAAAATGTAAGTATGCTGTATTTATTGGTAAAAGTGCTCAATATCAGAGATAGAGAAAGTGAGCACTGAAGTCAACACCAAGCAGTGAAAGTCTGTTTCGTGCTTGAACACAATCTTCAGGCTACTATATAAGTGGATAATGAAGTCAACATCCAGAGGCAACAGTCTGTTTCATGTTAAACATGGCACATGGCCTGATGATTATATTTAGCATGAAACAGACTGTCACCTCTGGGTGTTGACTTCAATGTTCACTCATATATTTTTTTATATATCAAGAACAATATTGGGTAAATTGTATGACAAAGTGAAAAAGGTTTACTTGTGACATCCATCCTTCAGGAGTGCATTGGACAAAATTTGTTATGCTGGTATGACCACACAAGTGCACAAATGAGGGCTACTGGGAACTTTAGAATTTTAGGAAAAAAAAATAATTCTAAAATCCCCAGCACTGCTCATTTGTGCCCATGTGTAGTCCTGCCAACATAACAAATTTAGTCTGATGACGTCCTGAAGGATGTAACACATCACAAGTAAAAAACGTTTTTCAATTAGCTGACTGATGTTACCTTCAGCATCCCAAATTCAGAGTTTCATAGACAGACACTCCAGGAATCACTCTGTCCACTCCTCAAGAGTTATTAGCAATTGACTAAAACTTCTTGATTTTTCTTTTATATATACACTTTTTATTGGTGCAAGGTTGTTTTTTTTTTTTTTTTACCATAGTTAACTTTTTCATTGTAACACATCCGACTACAATTTCAACCTAATAAATGCCAGTCTGATCTCGCAAATTCTCTTCAGTCAACCTCAAATCAGGTTTATATAAAATATCATTAAGCATTACAAAATCAATAGTAGCACACTGTGGCATATGAACTATTAGAGAAAAAACAGATTTACTCAGAGTGGGTTAATTTCAAATCCAGCAGATGTTAATAGTTAAGGTTATTTATTATCACTTCCTCAAGATTCCAGTTCATTTTCCTTACACACAGGGTTTGACTCATTCTGAGCCGAAAAGCATTTCTGAAAAAGCTTTTCTACTTTATCCCATTATCATTACTTTTGTCCAGGTATTATTTTACATACTACTAACACCTACATATATATATATATATATATATATGTAAAACACAACACATGCAGATACACACTGCTAGATAGGAGATCTCTTTGAAAATTCTAATGAGAAATGCAATTATGTTCTCTCCTAAAATTCTTATCGCTGTTATTAAGTTAAAGTTGTCATTTCAGTTGATGTGTGTTGAATCTAAATTAAAAGTGTCAATTGGTTAAGAAAATAGACAAACAAGAGAGTGAAACAAATCGAGATTCTATTGGGAACATTTTTGTGTATAGAAAGAAAGTGCAAATTCATGTTCTTAAACAAGTCTCTGTAGAAAATAAAGAAAAAGTTAAACTTACTCTATTGGTGGCTTTAAGAGTCAGATGTGTATTATCTATTACACGGAGAACTAATTTTAGCATCCTATCTCAACCTCTGCACAAAGTGAAAAAAAGAGAGCTAGCCTCTTGGAATTCAGACAATGAATGCTCCCAGTTTTATTTATGCATGCCCAAAATCTGAACAGGGGTCTGCTGCTGCTGACAGGGTTATCAAACACATTTGCATCTAGTGAAAGGTTTAACATTTGCTACACTATATATGACTAGAGGCAATGTATGGTATCATATCAATGAAATATCTCATCAGATATTTCTGGATAATCATTACTTTCATTAATTTTATCAAAATTTACAAAATATCTTGAATCACCATCACTTTCAGAATAAGAACTAGGTCAAAGTAATTTTTTCTTACTCATCAGCCATGTTTAATTAATTAGTCTTCAGTTGTTTTTTGTCATTATAACAAATCTTTATCATTCTTTTAATTAGAAGATCCAATAAAACATTTCTAGCTAAAATAAAAAATAATTTCACTTTGAAGGCTCGTCCTTTCATTGTCAGGTAATATTTTAATGCAGTCAATATTTAAAAAAAAAAGAAAATGAAAATACACTTATTTAATTTCAGGAAATAATAATAATAATTAGCACAAAACAAACTTTAAATATTTTAAAGATAATTCCTATGAAAAATAATTATTTCTTGCTTTGTCTGAAAAATATCAATGAATAAACAGTCGTTTTCTACTTGATATTCAAAAACAGCTGAATTCAGTATAATTTTGCAATTATAGTTGGTTTTCAAAATGATACTTTATCCTTATAAATGTGTAAAAAGAAAACTTTTACATAATTGTTTATAAGTTATCAAAAATATTATAAAATTAAATTCTTTTATAATGTCAAGAAAAGAAACTAAATAATAATATTAAATGACTTTTTGAATTTATATTTACCTGAAGTAATTTCCGTGAAACATTTTCTTTGAGTTTATTAATTTAACATTCATAGAGACCTATATGCTTCTACCTTAATGTTAAACTGTTGCACCTTTTCTCTGTAAGTATTTACTTAAATTGTTCACATTTGTTAATTGTTAGCAGTGACAATAAACATCTTCAATCAATCAGAAAACTTGTCCACTCCATGATTAAGTACCTCGATGTGGCAGAGTGGAGAGTATCTGGAGAGTGATACTGGTGGGAGTTTATCTCCTGACAGGTCCAACTTAGTCAGACAGGTCAATGGGTAGACAAAACCTTAGAGATGTAGTGGTGCAAATCTTAATGACAAAAAAATAGAGTGGGCAGCAGCTCTCCAGTTGCACAAATAGGCAAACATCAATAGACATTGACTTGATATATGCAATGATTTATAGCAGATGATAAATAACATAATCAACTACAACAGCATCAATCAACCAATTCTAGTTAGCTAAATACTGCAGTTGCTAGTAGGAGTTGTGACAACTAGTACTGAATTGTATTTACAATGTAAGAGTGAAAGCAATTGAAAAACAGCACAACTAGTAAATCCAATTCCTCAGACCACATCACTCATTGCATGGGTTTTAAACAGAGAGAATTTTTTTTTATTTCCTAAATGTCTACCCAATACAAGGCAAAGAGCCATTCAAGATAAATAGTTACTGAATGATTTGTTGATTCATTTTTTCCACTTATCGACTCTTTGCAGGTTATTTAAAGGCAGAAGATATTTTTAGATTTTAAGACTTTTTGTTTTTGAGTTAATAATGATTTAGTGATTATGTCTTACTAATTAACTCATAACTAAGGGAAAAGAGGTGGATTCATACCTTTCCCAACAGTATTTGCATCTAAGTGAATATAACGAACCCAATTGAAATTGGAACTCAATTCTGAGCCATTATCCATTACACCACCCACACATCCAAGCTTATAGCACCTGATATTCCCAAATAGTCACTCATCTAGGTACTGACCAGGCTTGACACTGCTGACCTTCAGTGATCATACAGGAACCGGTGTTTTAACACTAAATAGCTGTAAGCCTGTTCCACAGAGTAGTAATTCTTGGGAAGAAGTTGTCTGAATAGAACTTCTTTACCAATGGAATAAGGATGATTCAATCCTGTGAATGTGACATGCTGCAGATATTTGAATTGGTGGAACGAAGGGATGTTGCTCTTCTGAACATTAGAAATGGAAGAAACTAGTTAATGATGTTTGAATTCATTTCAAAATAAAGAAGAAAGAAGGGAAGTTGTAAAAATTGATTTTTACAGGTTTACTTGAATGACAGAAATTTTACATCCCTAAAAGACTATTTTTTTACAATCATTGAATTTTAAGGTTGACATGCAAGATACATGACATTTGAAAAAAAAATTTATTTCACACTTGACATCCATAATCTGTCATTTGAGAAGATGCTGTATACTATCTGGATGTGTAGGTGGTGTAATGAGTTGAGTTCAAATTCCAGCCATCTTTGCTAAATTCACTATATGCACAAATAATCTTTGAAAAGGTATGAATCCATCTCTTCTCACAACTATGGGTTGAATAGCAGGACAAACTGGGTTCTATAAACTTGATTGGTAATCATTCTAGAGATGGTGATTCAATAAAAGCATCCATCTCACATCCATCCTGAGCCACTTGTAGAGATGCACTGGCCCATGAAAATACACAGAGACTGAAATTCTTCAGTTATGTGAGTTGCAAATTCTGCCACAAGTGGAGAAAACATTGACTTTTTTGTATACTATTTATTTGATATTTGTCTATATTTTGGAGATGAGGTATTGTAACTATTTACAATATTTACATAATTCAGACTGTTGTCCTTATCTTTATTGCTATATTCACAACCCATATCCTTTTGGTGTCAGTTTAAACTGAAACCTTTTCTTCCATATATTTTGATGATTTTGCTAGCAATAAAAAAATAAATATTATTGCAGTACTTTTACAAGTTAGACTAGGTTAGTTAATTTAACAACATATCAAACCTTGTTGGGTATACTTAATATCAAATATAAGCTTTATAGGACAAATATTGCAATGAATTAATAAATAGATAGACCTAGGGCTGGTTTATACTGGAGTCAAAAAAGTAAATATTATTTCCAGTTAACTGCAGAATCAAAAAGGTAGACACAGGTTTGGCTTACACCAGAGTCAAAAAGGTAGGTACAGGTTTGACTTACACTAGTCATCCCTCTAAAGAGGTCATTATCTTTTAAAGGGGAAGTTTTACTATCATATTCTATAAGAATCTAATAGTATTAAACCCCAAAGGGGAACAGTAAAAATAAAAAGTAACTTAATATATTAACAAGTTAAGGAGCAAAGTGTTTCTAAAATCTAATTAATAATAAAAATGTCTCTGGTATATACCAGCCATAAAGTTATACTTACTTTCTGAATATCTTTATGTTGTGTCTCCCATAAGTAACTGATGATGATCAATCCAGCACTACCAATTAAAAAGCTGACGGCTACAAAATACCACCATTTGTTACAGTAGGAAGAAAATGACCTGTTCGGCATATCTACCAAAAGAAACAAAGTAAGAAAAATATAAAATGCAGGAATAATTATAGAAAAAGAAAAGAAACCAAAAATTATTATTCTATATTAAATGAATTTTCATACAATTTATCTCTCTTCCAACATCTACAAGTTGCACTAAGAGGGCCATGTGCATACATTTAATGCCTGTGGCAATAGCCCATATAAACAAGATGACCCACCATAAATTGTGACAGAGTTGTGTAATATAAAAAGTGGGTATGTGATGACTATTTTCATTCTTCCAAGATTGGGAGTCAAATAAGTTTTTAAAAATACACAGGACTAAAATCAGGGTGTTGCAAGGGTCTTGTCCGCCCCCAATCTATGATATGCCCCCTCCTCCCGCTCTTCTACATCTCAATTTTCATATAAAATACAAATTTTATTGTAACCTAATTATGTACAATCATATGCAATATAGGTGAACAATTCAATTAGAAAAATTAAAAATAAATACAATGTATCTAAAAACAAATTACAGACATGTCATAATAGATCATTCCATCTTCAATAAGTCAACAATGTTTTGCTGCAATTTTTAACATCAACTTGAAATTTTTCTTGTTAAAAAGTTGAATAAATTAACACATTCAACATTATGGATAAAAAAATATTGAATTTTATAGTGTTTTTCAAAACTTAGCATGAGCAAAAATTCATGGATTTGGATGAAAAAAAAAAAAACATCCTAAAATAAAATCAAAATCTGTGAAAATATTTCATCCTTTTGCACTTAGTTTAATTTGAAATGTATATAAATGAAGGTAGAAAAAAGCAAATGTTGATAAGATAGCAAGAGTCACAAAATACTGCCCAAAGCCCCTAATCAGACCCCCACCTCGTTCAGGACATAAATGCACCGGCCCTGACTGAGTTAATTAATGAAAGAACACCATATTTTCTAATTAAAACACAGCAGAAGACCATTTACCAAAATCACCTAGAATCTCTCAAGACTCTTTCAGCTTTTAAATTCAGTATTCTCAATGTAGCATTTGTATCTTTATACAAATTAGTATTGAGAGTAATGACCATGGTCTTTGATATCAATTTCCTTACAGCATAAGGTCTCGATGGAAAGCATCCAGCCATTTTGAATATCTTGAGAATAGGTTGTGATATAACCTAGCAACCAATCAGAAAGAACCTTACAACATAAGTATGAACACTGAACAGCCACTTTCCTGATGCTGTTAGGATTTTAATGTAGTATATCCCCAGGACCCACATATTGTGATTTGTGTGGTTCCTCAGGAAATTCAGTGGGTCGAAATAAAATTTCTTAATAAATTGTAGTGTTATTAAATGATGTTATTAGCCTGACAAGTTTCCACTTACTTAACTCTCATGACAACTAGAAACAATGCTACAAAATTAAGTATATATTATCTCAGCCAATTATAACAAATATGTCTCCGTTTCTTAGTTAAAATGTTTGCACTAATAGTTTTAAAATATATATTTAACAACAAAAATATAAAATATGTTTAAATAAAATATCTATAAATACAAAATATGTTTAAATAAAATATTTACCATTAATATCTATCATAGTTCATTTGCCAAATTATTCACATTCGGTTACAGATATATTAGTTACATTTTAGATTAAATGTAGATGCATCATTAGACTGATATCCTTTCTTACTGAAACAAATTCCCTTTACTACCTCATAACTGTTACGGGTTGTTTGTGTGCAATGTATTGTTTTTCATGGAGAATCGATGTACATCTCTGGGACACACAGATAGGAAGTTTACAGTGTCCTTTTAGATTCTTATGAGTCATAGATGCAGGACCTGTGCCTAGAAGCTTCTCTGGGTCACTTAGTTATCAGTGAGATGCCACTGAATGAGCTTGTGTACTTTGTGGCTATCAGGTTCATAATGCAAACAGATTTCTACCCTAAAATTGCATCTGTCAGATCTATTATCCCCTCTACAGTCCTGATTTTGCTCACTGAAACTTCTGATTATTCCCCAAAGTTAAAATCATTGCTGAAAGGGAGGTAATTTCAAACTATAACAACATTAAAGAGAATACAAGACAGCTGATGGCAATCCTGAAAGAGGATTTTACAGGTTGTTTTAAAAAAAATGGAAGAATACTGGAATAAATGTGTACGGTTCGAAGGAGGAATACAATGGAGGAGATTAAACTGTCATTGCCCAAGGTAGGTTATTTTTTCATTAACATTAAATGGCTGGATAGAGATCTCATATACACACTCCCACATAAACATCTCGACTATTTACCAACTACTATCTTACACAGTAGAGTGATGATACAAATATTACTAACTCCATATAGTGAAACATTTAACTCAACAACTACCAACATCAATATGACTATAAGACAATGTTAACCCAACACTGAGCCCTGAGTTCTTGAACAATTTTAACCCTTCTGCCTCATCTCCTGAGTCAAAATTCGCAAATAATTGGTATGTAATGTTTCACGGTAGATATAAAAATAGTTACAAGTGTTTAACTACTGTTCAACTTAATGCTGGGCATTAAGTCATTTTTCTCCACCACTGGTAAAGTGGTGGTCAGGGCTCAAAGGGTTAATGAAAACTGATCTATTCAATCATGAAATTAATAAGTATAGTACTCTTCTTCATTTCAGTACACTGTACAACAAATAAAACTATATAACTGCTTGCTTTGTGTTTTCATTTATTTTTTCACAAGTGTTTTCAACTTCCTTTTAACTTGTCTGACAACAAATTCCACTTCTACTTAGACACTACTATAGTGGATTGGTAAATAGGATTATACCTATTTGCATATGTTAAGTAGAAGAGAAAGTGTATAATAAAGTAAGAGACAGGCAGAAGCTAACTACTGATCATGTGTCATAGAACACAACACAATACAAAATCCTAAAGGAATACAATGCACTCTTTACCAAATAGTCAGTCACCCTATTTGGTAAAGAGTGCACCGTATTCCTTTAGTAAAATTAGTAACCAACAAAAACCTGATGACCTTAATCAAATCTGTCAAGTTGAATTTGATTTCAGTAACCTAGTAAAAAACAGTACTTACTCCAGATACTGCAGTTTATTACTAACTTCACAAATGGTTACACCATTACAACAAGTAACTAACACACACAAGATGATCACATGTTACATTTTATCATGTTTTTACAGTTAGGTGGCATTAGAATCATTTAATTTAAACTCACTTCATATGAAAATTTCTCTTTTGTCTTATGACAGATGTTATATAAGAATTCATTTTTTTTAGATTGTCAAAATAAATGTAATTATTGCTTATTGATTCTAACATTGAAGATGGAAGAAAATAAGCAAAATTATGGTATTCATTTTTTTTTTATTTTAAGAAAGGCAAAAGTTTGAATTGGGCATGAAAAAAAACATTTGTCAGTTTATAGAGACAGCACTGTGAATGAGTAAATCTGTCTGTATAAAGTTTCACAATAATCCACAACTGGATTGACAAACATTACTTGAAAATAATGAATGTTATAAAATGCAGAAGATAACCAACTCACTGAAAATAGCGATTTTCCAAGCATAGCTTAGATGTGGCACAAGGCCGAAATTAGGGGGCACCCAGCGAGAATCGAACTCACTACTCAGCCGTAATTGTTCTAGTGAGACAAGCTTGCTAACCATTATACCCACTCGAGGTGCCCACTCACTGAAAATAATTTTGATATGTGGCTTACACATAAGTAAAAAAGAAAAAATACATTGTGTTTTTATATTAATGCAAATGTTTTAACTAATAAATGAATTATGATTGGCTGAAATAATATCTACTTAATTTTGCAGCATTGTTTCCAGTTCTCATAAGAGTCAAGTGAAAACTTGTTAGACTAATAACATCATATAACACTACAACTTACTAAATGTAAAGAAAGTATTTCATTTTTTAACACATTAATTTTCTATGCTTTATCAACCCATGACAGGTTATTTAAAGCCAGAAAATATTTTTAGATTGTAAGAATTGTTTGGAGATACAAGTCTTACTAATTAACCCATAGCTAGGGGGAAGAAGAAGTGGATTTATATCTTTCCCAAGGGTATTTGCGCATAAGTAAATATAATGAACCCAACGGGAACTGGAACTCAGCTCTCCAATTAACAATTCCAAGCCATTATTATTCATTTGGGAAAAATTGAAATTAATTGCTAAATCTAGTGAAAATTACCCATGAAATAAAAATAATTGTTTGTAGGGAAAGTAAGGACCTATGTGCATCAAATTGTTTTTAAATTAAGTGGCGGCAGAAGGATTATCATTTAACTTTTAAAAGGTAAGCTTAAATATTAATGCAATAAATACAGCAATCAATTAGCTTAAAACTAAAAGCCAATAATGTGGCTTTTGCTAGTTTGAAATATTTCTAAAAACATGGCTCTTAGTCTTCATTGTTATCCGTTTTTTACTTTTTCTTTTTTTTTTGTCTATTTACAGGCGTCCATATCAAATTTATAAAATATGTCAAATATTGCTTAGAATAAAAATTTAAATGCTAAATAGATATTCTTAAAAAAAATACAAAAACTCAAGTCAAACATTACCAAAAAAAAAAAAATATAAACAACGGTAAGAAAAATGTAACAGGAAGAAACACTTCTAACTTGACTGTTTTTTGGTTTTTTCTTTCTTGCTTGCTTACTCAATCATAATCCATCAACCTTCTTTCAGTTAGTTCTTTCTCTCTGTGCGTAAAACTGGCGTGTAAGCGTTAATGGAAGGTGGGGGCCTTCTTTTTAAAGCTAATGACACTTGTTCACAATTTATCCTAAGAAATGAAGGAAAAGGAGATTTAAAATAAATTATTACACGTGCAAGAGCAAGAAGGATAGTAAAGTAAACGTTCAATCATTTTTCTACTTAATTAAACAATTATTTATCCTGGAAAAAATTTAGGACATGGGTTCATTTTAAAATGGAAATAATTGTGTCAGTTGTGAAAAAAAAATCAAGTTTTCTGATTATTAAAACAATTTTGTTGTAAAAAATGTAGTTTGTAACTAGTTTTTCAAGAAAAACAAAAACAATTGCCTCCGTCAATATTGCTATTATTATTATTATTATTTGATAAATTTTTTAATGGGAAAATATTCACATTTTGACTTATTGACTTCTGTAAGAATTTAAAAAAACAATCTTTTCTACAATGAGGAGAGGTGATGTTTTTTTTCTCTGCCAAACAGTATCAACAACAAAACATTATTTTTAATAAATAATAAAATAATTTTAAATCAATAAACAGTTGCGCATTCACAACAACCTACCTTTTTAAACAAAAAAAAATATTTTTTTTTTACGAATTCTGTTTTTTTACAGAACATTTTTCTTTTTCACGGTGAGATTTCAGCATAAAAAATATAAAACCATAGCGAAAACTCTTTGTCTTTAAACTTTTGGTTATTTAGTTTTTAAATTTAAGGAATAAGCAGAAGCTGCAGTTCTCAATTTATGTTCAGTGTGTAAAAAAACTCATCAGACTCTAGGTAAATCATTTGGTGATTTTTCTATCTAAAAGAGTACTTTGACAATAATATCATTATTATTATTGTCATTTCTTTTTATTTATTCATTTTTATCCTAACTGAACTTTGAAACAAGATTTCGTTACTAGCCGATCATTAAAAAAATATCTGAGAACGGCACTTGACTTGAAGGTGCATTTTTTTTTTTTTTTTGGTTGAAACGACAGTTATAATTTTAATTTCATTCTTTTCTTTTAGTAATGCTGACAGTAATATTCCTTAACTTAAAAAAACAAAATAAACAAAAACACTTTTCATAACTTCTGAGTTGGCCCGAAAAAGTTTTTTTCGCCAACTGGTAATAATCACTTTAGTTTTAGGATTTTCTATTGTCACGTGAATTTTCTTTAATAAACAATCTTCTTCGTAATTCCAGAAATTAGTTCTCATGAATTGTTAATCAATTAGAGACACTGAAAGTTGAAGAAAGTGATTATTAAATCAAGAAACGAAAAACTAGAAAGGTAAAAAAAAAAGGGGGTTTGATAGTACTTTTAGTCTTAATGGTCATCATAACCATTTTTTAGACTAAAAAAACTTAACAAAAACACTAGCTAGAGAGTTTACTTAAAAAAAAAAATAAGAGGAATTTTATTATTTCTCCATTCTAATTTTTTGTCATTAAATCAAAGTAGTTCCAATCTTAAACAATCTTTAGTCCTGAAATTTCAATTATTTCTCTACGAGAATAAAATGAAATCTAAAAAAAATACCAACTGTTTAGTCGTAAAAAAAAAAAAGTTTCTCAATGACAGTTATTAAATAACAAAATCAGGAGAGGTTTTCAAAAACAAAGGAAAACACTAGTTAGTTACCAAATTAAATACTTAATAAATTACCAACCTGTATTATTTGAGTGACGAGCTGATTGTCTTCCTTCTTGATTTTTAGCCGAACCCACAATAATGGGTTGAGCATCGTCATTAAAATCACTTGACATAGTGGAAAAAAAAGAAATAAAATAAAATAAAACGAACTACAAAACAAGTCAGAAAATTAAATAACAGTTATTTTAAGCAGAAAAACCTTTTTCGCCACGGTCGTATTATTTTCCTAATCGTTAATCCTTTCGAAACGTAATCAGATGTGTTTTTCCTAATCAGATCAATTTTTTTTTTAGCAGAGAATAAGTTTCATAGATTTTTGCTGATATTAAAAAAATTCACAACAACATTTGGTTTACGTTTACTACTTGCTGATTGTGATATTGCGCTTTTTGTTTGCCATTCTTTCTTTGTCAATAAAAGTAAAACAAAAATTTAAATAAAAAAAAAAAAGGTCAGGCAATTCTGCTGCACTACAAAAGTATGTGTGGATCAACAAACAGGAAAATAAACACTTGAAAAAAAAAACCGGCTATAACTTATCTAATAACTTACTTAGTAACAAAGTGTTTTGTTATGAATTTATGTAGATGGAATTTAAACTCATTATATAACCCCACCCCACAACTTTTCTTGGAACTTGTCTGGTAAGTATCACAATGTTTCTTATCTTATCATTGGGGTTTTTGTTACAGATGAATGAAGTTAGAAGTCATTTAGTTTCTTTGTGACCATCTTTTTTAACAAGATGACAAATGTAATCCAAAGTTTTTTTTTCGACACAAATAGATAGATAAATAAATAAATAAATAAATGAAGTTGACATTATTTCAGTTTACTTTTACAATTACTGTGTGAATAGAACAAATTTTCTTCTCGTATATTTGAGGTGACAAACAACATGGTCCCGTTCAAATGTTACTGCACATTTTGAAATTACGTTATTTCTTTAATTATAAAATAATTTTATAATTAATAACCCTTAAGTTAAGTACCGATACTGAATCCCCGAGGACCCAAAACAGATAAATTGGAAACTATTTTTGTATCACGTTGTACACGGTTTTTGCTTTTTGGTCATTTTCCGGGTATTCCTCAAAAATTATCTATCCACTTTATTTTTCAAGTTACCGAAATTGATATTGGAATATTTGTAATTATTACAAATATTTCAATATCAATTTCGGTAACTTGAAAAAAAAAAGTGAATAGATAATTTTTTAGGAATTATGACCACACCAGTGATGGGTCCCCAGGGACCCGGTTTGGGCGCTTATTTTGCATCTATGCATTAGCTGACAAATTGTTTACTTTTTTCCCCATGTGCATATTACCGATAGTAAGGATCTTAGTTTAGTGAGGACACTGTTTTCTTTTTTTACCGAAAACAATTTTGACATCACTCTCACTTATTTCATTTTATTTTAATTTAATTTCTTTTTTTCTTTTCTTTTTGAATATGGAAGCTACAATCTGTATTCTGCACAGGAAGCAGCCAATCGTCTTATACAAATGCTCGAAGATTATAAATATTTTATTTTGTTGTATAAAAAAAAAAAGTTAAATTTTGTGCACTTTTTATGGCCTTTTAGGTTCAAGCGGCAAAGCGCCAAGATCTTTTTTTTTTTTGAATACTTGAAAGTGGATTTTATTGACCAATGGGAATCAAGTTTTTCTAGCACCTAAAAATTTTAGCTGGAGCCGAATTTCATGACCTCCATTGAGAATAAAAAGGACTGCTATCAGCAGATGGGAAGGAGGAAGAGAGTTGAAAAGAAAATGGCAGAGCGCCAACTTCACCTGGGGCAGTTTTCACAAGACATCACATAAAATGACAGTCCCGTGAAAGGTTATAAATGTGACATGACAGTTCCAAGGCAGATTCATACAACAAATTTCACCCCACACCTAGAACCTACAAGAATTTGCCTACATCCATTCTGTTTCAGGCTGAGAGGTCCTTTACAAAGCTGTTACAACGGAGGTTGGTGTCATTTAAAAGATTGTGCTTTGTGCCATATTGTGAATCCTCTTACTCCGAGTTTTCCCTTATTTTTGAATGGATATATTTTGTATATGAATCTGTTGGTCCTATCGACATTTTTGGTGACTTGTATTTTTTCCTGTTTCTGAGTGAAATCTTTTTATTAACTCAAATTGTTATCCTGCCCAAAGAGGTGCACAACACAAAAGGAAATTTTTGTGCAACCCCTTGTTTTGTATTTTTCCAATTTGTAATTGTAAATAAATGTGTTGTTCCTTTTGAAATTTTATGTACTGGTCGACTTGTTTTATTAAGTTACACCTATTTTTGAGAGTTGCTGTTTCTACCAACTAAGTTTTGTGTCTGGCACAAGAACATGGAGTTGATAGGAAAGCAGAATTTTTGCATCTTGCACAAAAAATGTTTTATGTTACCATAGTGTAGCATAATTTTATAAGATAAATCTTCTGACAGTGGTGATAATTCTATTCAGTCAGATGATGATGGTAAGCTTGATGATATTAAAGATGATGCTGAGATATCAGATGAAGATGATGACATTGTGAATGGTGTAGATTGAGATCAGGACCGTATTTCAGTTCCTAAAAGTGGCTATTCAACTCGATCTAAGAGAGAAAGTGGTTCAATGTTCCACATGCATCTTTGAAAACTTGTGGTGCAAATGGTTTTAGTGGTAATCAAGGACTCACATTGACAGTGAAAATAAAGCAAGAAGCTTTGGAACTTTTTTTTTTTTTTTGACCTCTGAAATTATCGAAATGATTGTAAAATGGAAATGCAAGAAAACACACTGGCAAACTCTTACAGTGACAGAACTTCCTGCATATCTTGATCTTTTATATGCTGCCAGAGTGTTGGAAGGGAATCATGAAAACAACAGGGAGATGTAGAAAGATGGACATCTTTCAAGGCCAGTTTTTGCTGTGATAATTGCCAAGGAGCTGGTTTGAAGAAATTACTCAGTGCATTCACTTTGATAACTTAGATACTCAGCAAGAAAGGAGGAAATGTGATAATATGGAATTAGTTCATTACACAGTACAAAAAGAACTATAATCCTTCAGAGCTTTTGTGCCAATGACTGATTGGGAACCACTACTCTATAACAACTAGGCAAAAAGAAATATGTCAGTAGGGACCTTCAGAAAACAAAAAACAAAAAAAAGCTATACCTAAGATTTTCAAATGCATTTAAAATTTTTAAAAATGAAAAAAATCTTGCTTTTATTTTAGTTTAATTGTAAGCTAATACAGTATGACCCGGATATAAGAGAGATTTTCTCTGGTCCCAAATTAGAGCCTATGTTAATGTATATAAAATAGACCAAACCCAGATATAAGAGACTTCTTCTTCTCCGGTCCCGACAACTCTCTTATATCCGGGTTACACTGTACATCAGATTAAATGATTAAATTAATTAATCCAATAAGCAAAATCAAATTTAAATTGATTGGAATGATTTTTTTTTTAAATCATTAAAAGTAAAATTGGCCATATTGACAAATCTGTCAAATACAACATAATTTTCTTTATTAAAAAATCTTTCAAAAATAAAATATCCTTTGCCAAAACTTGAGGAAGATTAACTGATTTAAAGTTTAATTAATCTGAATTAGAACAAATATTACTTACTTTTAGTTAAAATATCACAAAAAAGCATTTTTAACAGGAAGGTGGATGTTGTTGACACATTTATTTTTGCAAGATAGATGTAAGAGAGAAATACTTGTAAAATTACACGATGAATACAACATAAATGCCTTTTTAGATAATTTTTTTTAATTACCCAGTAATTTTAAAAAATTAAAATATTTTAAACATTCTAATATTTTACTGAAAACTTTAGCTTTATAGTTTTACTAATGAAGATGTTTGTTGAGGAAATGTTAGAAAATTACCAATAAATTTTAAATGTACCTTGTTACTGCCTTTATTTTTATTTTAATACCATTTTTTTATGGACATCCATATTTACAAAAGTTGGCATATTTATTTATGCACAAAAATAAAAATTCTTCTTAAAATACTGGGGGGAGGTTGCTGAATTGTAGTAAACAATATCACTTGACCAATGCAAATTAATACAGAATTTTAAAAGATTTAAAATATATTATGGACACAAAGTCCATAATATATTTTATTCATAAAATCAATTAAAATCATTTCCAATTAAATAATGTCTTAGTTTTATTGCAATTTTTATTTCAGAGCAGATTTTATCTAACTGGGGGCTTTCTTTTGACAAAAAAAAAATTGATGATTTAAATTCTCTGAGGAATTGTCCTTATCTATAAAAAAAAATTCTATTGATTTCACTTGCATGCGATTTTTTTAAAAACAGTCGCTAACTTGGAATAATTTTTCTGTTTTCAGAAGTATTTTTCTAAATAAATTAAAACTATATGTCATTCGTTATGTTCTTTGCACATTAATGACGTACTCTTTCTTTTTTTGTCATTATACAAGTAACAGAACATTGTCATTAACTAAGGTTTTTTTTGTTAAAGAGTTTGTGAGAATGAACTTTAAAACCTGCACCATAACAATTACATTTTTTTTGTTGTAGTGCGTGCAAGTATAAGGCAGAGGCAGCTTTTTATGGTTTACCCAGTCATAAAATATAAATCTTCACAGCAAGAACATACCATGCCACTTTTACATAGTAGCAAACCACCCACGTTCTCTCCGTTTTCCGTCGGTGAGAAGTTCTCGAGCAGCTTCTTCCTGTGAACCACCGCCCTGTGGAACCGACTGATGTTTTCCCGATCACTACTTAACCTGTACAAGGCTAGGGTTAACCGTTATCTTCCATTCTTATACACACAAAGGGCCTTCTAACATAACTCTCGACCTCGAGTGGCTCTCGGGTCTTGTATAGGGTGAACCTTACTGTAAATAAAAAATAATAATAACAATCTTCACCCCATTCCAAACCGAGGATTTACTGAAGAGAAGACGAAGAGGAAAACAGGTAAATAATCTACTTCCCATTCATATTCTTTGGATGGCACCCGGTAAATATTGAATGTCGAGTGTGATTTAGATTCGCACTGCAATTACAAATACATTTTTAAAGTCTTGATTTTTACGAAATTCGTGAACTGCGGATA